TGGTATATGACTTGGAGGGGAACTTGCAGATGATGGCATTCCTATGCATTATTTACCTTTGATTTTCTAGCTGATAGAAGTCGTGGGTTTGAAAGTGCTACCAAAAGATATCTCACGAGATCAAACATTTGATATGTCGACAAAGATTTTTAAATTGTGTGAATCTGACTCCTTCAATAGGGGCTCTTATAAAAGCGGATTGAACCCAATATAATTATCTAGTACATACTAAATCTGCAGCATATAACTTCTTTTATTTCACCACCATCTTCTCAAGGGAAAATAGGGATGAGCAACAAATACTGGCCTTTACTGTTTATCCCTATATAACTTGAGTTACTTGCAAGGCCACTCAGAGGGTGGTTGAGTCACAATGCAATGCCCCTAGAAGCTGGCACAACCAGGCATAGACCATCCCCAAGGCAAAATGGTGAATCTGAGAGCTTTTTATGACAATTAGGTAGTTTCATTGTCAACATTATAACACAAACCAAAGCCAACATCAGTGAAAAAAGGCTGGGTAGCCTGGGACCTTTTTTCACTGGAGGTAGGGTTTATTAAATTATGAGGGGTATAGATAGGGTTAATAGTAGGCATCTTTTCCCTAAGATAGGGATTTCAAGACTAGGGGGGATATTTGGAAGACGCGAGGACAAAGATTTAAAACAAAACATGAGGGGTAATTTTTTTTTTTAACATGCAGGGTGGTTCATGTGTGGATTGAACTTCCTGAGGAAGTGGTGGATGCAGGCATAGTTACAACGTTTAAAAGACACTTTGATAAAGTACATGAATAAGAAACGATTGGAGGGATATGGGCCAGGAGCAGGCAGGTGGGACTAGTTTAGTTTGGGATTATGGTCGGCAAGGACTGGTTGGATCGAAGGGTCTGTTACCATGCTGTAAGACTCTTCGACTCTAAATCATAGATTTAAAGATGTACAGCATGGAAACAGACCCTTCGGTCCAACTCATCCATGCCAACCAGATATCCTAAATTAATCTAGTCCCATTCGCCAGCATTTGGCCCACGTCCCTCTAAATCCTTCCTATTTATATACCCATCCAGATGCCTTTTAAATGTTGTAATTGTACCAGCCTGCACCACTTCTTTTGGCAACTCATTCCATACACGCACCACCCTCTGTGTGGAAAAATTTGCCCCTTAGGTCCCTTTTAAATCTTTCCTCTCTCACCTTAAACCTATACCCTCTAGTTTTGGACTCCACTACTCTGGGGAAAAGACCTTGGCTATTCACCCTATCTATGCCCCGCATGATTTTATAAACATCTATAAAGGTCATCCCTCACCTTCCAATGCTCCAGGGAAAATAGCCTCAGCATGCTCAGCCTCTCTCTGTAGCTCAAACCCTCCAACTCTGGCAATATCCTTGTAAATCTATTCTGAACCCTTTCAAGTTTAACAACGGCCTTCCTATACCAGGGGGACCAAATTGAATGCAGTATTCCAAAAGTGGCCTAACCAATGCCCTGTACAGCTGCAACATGACCTCCAAACTCCTATACTCAATGCACTGACCAATAAAAGCAAGCGTACCAAACGCCTTCTTCACTATCCTGTCTACCTGCAACTCCACTTCAAGGAACTATGAATCTGCACTCCAAGGTCTCTTTGTTCAGCAACACACCCCAGGACCTTACCATTTGCTATAAAAGTCCTGCCCTGATTTGCCTTTCCAAAATGCAGCACCTCACATTTATCTAAATTAAACTCCATCTGCTACTCCTTGGCCCATTTAATCAAGCTCCCATTGTACTCGGAGGTAACTTTCTTGGCTGGCCACTACACCAATTTTCGGTGTCATCTGCAAACTTACTAACCGTGCCTCCTGTGTTCACATCCATTTATTTAATTAACCGAGTTTAAAATCTTAGCTTGCCTGTCGGCTCTCATATCTTCAGATCATTCATTGGAACCACTTGATTAATAGTCCATCACATAGCTAATTAATCCAGAACTTACTTCAATACTTTGGGGCCAAGGATATGTACTAGAATACAGGTTTTCACTATGCAAGTTAATAACATGGATGACGACAGTTCTAAGTCCAAATTTTCAGAAGAAACTAAGTTAGATGTTTAACAGGTTGCGCAGATAGTATTGTGGCTTAATTGGGAAGAGTATGCAGATAATCATACAGGGCAGCTCGGTGGTGCAATGGTTAGCACTGTGCCAGGGACCCATGTTCAATTCTGGCCTCAGATGACTATGTGTGGAGTTTGCACATTCTTCACATGTGTGTGGGTTCATTCCGGCAGCTCTGGTGTCCTCCCACAGTCCAAAGATGTACAGGTTAGGTGGATTGCTCATGCTAAATTACCAAGTGTCCAGGGATGTGTAGGTTAGGGACAGGGTAGGGGGTGAGTCTGGGTGGACTTGTTGGGCTGAATGGCCTGTTTCCAGACTGTAGGGATTCTATGGATCACATTCCATTCTTCCACAAGCTGTCACAAAGTGCATACAAGCCAAATTACAGAACCAGGATGATCAATTTACCTGGCTGACTACTATTCAAGGCAAGAGAAATTCTCACTAGTTTCATCATGTACAGACTATTTACTGTAAAACATTTAACTTTAACAACTGTCAGAGAAAAGAAGAATTACTAATTTACTGTTATGCAACTTTGGAACCCTAAATACACACTCAAGCAACACACCTGCGAGCCAATTACACTTTTCCAACAAGTGAATTTAACCACAGCACCTTGCTTTTCAATGGTATCACCATTACTAAATCCTCCCCCGTACTCTATTAACATCCTGACAGTTACCATTGACCAGAAATTGAACTGGACTACTCATATAAAGACTGCGGCTACAAGACCAGGTCAGAGGCGAGAAATCCTGCAGTGAGTAACTCATCTCCCAACTCCCCAAAGCCTGTCCAACGTCTACAAGACACAATTCAGGAGTGTGATAGAATACTCCCATTTGACTGGATATGTGCAGCTCTGATAACCCTCAAGAAACTCAACACCATCTAAGACAAAGCAACCCGCTTACAAATATCCATTCTCTCCACTACCTACACAGAGTAGCAGCAGTATGCCATCTATAAGATGCCCTATAGAGATTCACCAAGACTCCTTACAGAGCACTTTACAAACCCATGACCACTACTACCTAAAAGGACAAGGACAACAGATGCAGGGGCACATGATGACCTGCACGTTCTCCTCCAAGCCACTCACCATCCAGACCTTGAAATGTATTGTTGTTCCTTCATTGACCCAGCAACAAACTTCTGGAACTCCCTCTGTAACCTGGACTGTGGGTGTACCTATGCCAAATGGACTGTACTGTTCAAGGTGGTAGCTCATCACCACCTTCTGAAGGCCAACTACGGATGGGAAATGAATGGTGGCCCAACTAGCAACACCCACATCCCATGAATGAACAAAAAACTCCTTTGTAATTAAGGCAGACAAAAGTTGATATTACTGCAGGGAAAAAAATCTGTAAACATTGAAAAACCAAATGCCAAAGATCGAAAGTCCAGATCTCAAGACTGAGTTACATTTTCTCTCAGCTCTTTTTGATTTCAAAATGATGACATGGTGTTGTTTGCAAAGCGATGGTCAATCTTCACTTTGATAGTTGGTCCAGGTCTTTTCTTAGCTAGAATTCCTTTAAGCTTTCCTGGTTTTTCTGACTTTTCACCCATAGAGAGAGAGAGAGGGGAAAAGAGAGATGCTTTCAGTCTGCAGGCTGTGGCTATGTCTGGGCTGCCCTGCACATACAGCTTGTAAAGAACGACAGCTGAACCAGAGGGCTATTATCAGGCAGAATTTCCCTGGACACAAAGACTCTCGGTATCATTCAATCTCAAAATATCGACTTCATTGCTTTGAAAAGCAAGGTTGTCTTGCACAGCTAAAAAAAAAATGTACACCACTTAATTTTTGATTTGCAAAACCTTCCTGTTTTTTCAGTACGTAGCCATCAAACTTCCACTCCAGTTTTTACTCTCTTAAGCAGGAAGAGGGACAGAGTGGACAAAATTCTATGAGAAGTGTGAGATCACTTATCCAAACCAATGACCTCCACTACCTAGAACCCCCCGGGAGCCCCAACACCTGGAATTTCTCCTCCAAGCTACACGTCATCCTGACCTGAAGCTATCTTGCAGTTTCTTCCTTCACTATCACTGGATCAAAATTCTGCAACTCATTTCTAACATCACTGGGGATGTAACTACCCACTCATACACCCAGAGGAAGGCAGGTCACCATCACCATCCCAAGGGCAGGCAACAACTAGAATCACCCACATCCCACGAAGGTATTTGACAAGAACTGTGGCTGTAAGGATTATTAATTGGAATATTTTCTTAATGACAGGAAACTAGGAATGGAGAAGGAGCAGAGATTAGGGTGCCCAAATCCAAAATCACTGAAACCGCATGCGCAAGACACAACAAGCCTCATGAAATATTGGCCCTTATCACCAAAGACCAGGCTTGTATCTGCTGAAGTTTAAAAACAGTCCATGGCAACTTGGTTAAAACATACAGGACCTTGAAGTGAAACTAAAACAGAAGTTGCTGGAAAAGCTCAGCAGATCTGGCATCATCTGTGGAGAGAACTCAGAGTTAATGTTTCGGGTTGAGTGACCCTTCCTCAGGACTGGGATCCTGGGTGTCTTGTCTGGTTGCACATGGAAAGGATGTTGCTTCTTGTAGGAAAATCTGGAACTAGGATTCACTTTTTAAACTAAACGGTCTCCCATTTAAGACACAGATAAAGATATCATGTATCTCACAGCGGGTTGAGTCCTTGGAATGCTCTTCCTCATGCGGTGATGAAAGTAGAATCCTTGATGATTTTAACAGTAGAGCTAGATAGATTCCTGATAATTAAGTGGACAAAATGTTATTGTAAGTAGATAAGAATGTGATATAATTTGATCAGTCGTGATCATAACAAATGATGAATAATTCATACTTTCACATGAAAAAATGTTGATCCAGACAACAGTTTGAGATACCAGTAGCTTTATTCAACTCAGTTATGAATAAACAGAACAGCAGCATAAAGCAACGTATGTTCCCTCAGATATGCGGATGATGACCAGTTTGATCAAACAGCTCACCAAAAATGTACACCCCCCCCCCCACCCCCCCTTCAGAGAACTCAAGCCAGCCAACCCTGGAAAACTTGAACAGTGCCAACAGTTGCCCCTTCAGGTAATCTCTTCAAACAGAAACCTGCAGTACACAAACTGTTCGCCTTCGGAGAATCAGAGCCAGCTACTTTTAATGCTGACAATCTAATTAGCTTTTGAATTGACAATCAGGATTTTTTCCAGAAAAATTCTAGAAATAGATGGCTGCTGGTGAAAGAGATGGATCACAAGATACTTACAAGGTGAGAAAAGCCATCCACCCTGTTACAATGCATCCATGATACCAGGGTATTCTCTTCCACTACTCCACAGGGAGTCCATTCCAAGTGCTGACATTGTGTGCATGAAGAACTCCTAAAGTCAGTATTTTTAATAGTTTATACCTGTGCTACTTCTACACTACTACTCCAGATTAGCTTTTACATTCCATTGTTTCCATATATCACATAAATACCTCCAACAGATCTCCTCTGAAACACCATATTTCAAGGTTAACTCCCTGAATATTCATAGATTTGAGTTTAAAAGTAGTCCTCTCATGTCTTTTCATATTCTAAGAATACACATCACCTTGTGCCATTTCCTTGAAGAAACTGAGATTGAGAGATGGGGTTTTCCCCAAAAGCCTTATTAATTGCTGTTTACCAAGTTGTCACACAGCTAATCCAAGTTAACTTCATTTTGCACTGATGTAACACTAATCGGTCTAGTTGTCTGGATCGGTTTATCACCACCTCTGAATTCTGGTACTTTGTTAGCCTGTTTCTAACATATTAGTATCCTCCAGAACCAGATTCCACCAACCCCTTCATAATGGTCAGTGCCTCAGAATCTCCTCCCACATCTCCCTCAGCACTTTAATATATCTATCATAGGTGCCATGAAATACTTAAAAGTTTTTGAGAAGATTTGTAGCTCGGGTTGTGGACGAGGTTGTAAACTTGCTCGCCGAGCCAGTGCGTTTGACTGCAAACGTTTCGTCACCCTGCTAGGTAACATCGTCAGTGCACCTCTGGTTAAGCGTTGATGTTCTGTCTCACTTGTGATTTGTGTGTCTCTGTTTGCTGGGGTAGTTGGCATTACTTCTAGTTCTCGACGGAACTCCATCAACAAACATATTGAACTGGACCCGATATACAAACCACTGAAAAACAGAACCGGAAGTGATGTCAACCACCCCAGCAAACAGAGGTATATAAATAATAAGTGGGACAGAACACCAACGCTTCAGCGGAAGCGCACTGATGATGTTACCTAGCAGGGTGATGAAATGTCTGCAACCAAACACACCAGCTCAGTCAGCAGGTCTACAATCGCATGCCATGAAATGTATTCAATACCTTGCAGCTTATCTAAGACTTCTGTCTGATTTATATTGAAATCTTAAATTATACTTTTCAGGGATTGGCGTAACTGAAATCTCACTTGTGTCCTGCTCATTTGCAGATGGCAACAGAATATCACCCTTATGCTTACAAGTTTCAAACTTATTTGCATCACAAATGTTTTCACCACTTCTCTGACAATCCTCTTGCTTCTGCACTGCTGAAAGATGTTTAGCATTTTGCTATGTTTCAAAAGCTTTACCTTTTATTTCCCCAGGTACTATCACATCCTTTTTATCATTTCCAACTTATTTACAAAATTGCAGTTTAATTGACAACACTTCCATGACATTTGCAAAGAGGCAAGAGGCTTTCAATGGGGTGAAGTTCCTAGTAACATTGCTGCTCTCATGCCCGACTCAACTCGTTAAGGAAATGATCATCCTCAATGCCAAAATAGATTAATATGGTGAATAGGAGGAGAGTGTGGATGCACTCAATGTATGGAAAAAGCATTTCACTCCAAAAAGGTTGCCAACCCTCCAGAATTGTCCCGGAGGCTGCATGACACTTTTTAAATTAACACCCAGGAGAAGAAAACTAGCGGGTCTAATAAAATGGGCCTTTTCCCATTTGTAATTGATCACTTCTATTAATTGATAATAAAACACATTGGAGTTGAGGAAAAGGTTGTTTTAGGCTGGGTAAAAAGGTGGAATGTGATGGAATCTCAATGCCTCAGGACTTTAGCCTATTATTCTACAAACCCTGATGAGCCTACGTATTTTCTTTCTCCATTGAAGATGTACAGCATATCATTCTTCCACTTTTACTTGTAGCATCTCACAAGTGGTATCCTGCCCGTGGAAGTGTTCCAAATATTCTGCTTCACCACACACAGACTAAAACTGACCTTATTTAACCCTATCTTAAATCATGATGGTGTGAACAATGGCTCTGGGTTGGGGGAAGAAGCATCACAGATTTTCTTTTAAAACTTTCCAATGTGCAAGAAACATGCTGGCTTCAACAGCCTCATTTCATTAAAAACATATTCCAAATTTCCATTAAATAAGTATAGGATCAAGGCTTATTAATGTATTTCCACACAATATTTATCAATGACTGTTGTATTATCAATACTATTGCCACATTTAAATAGTTGGTAGCTCAATCTAAATCCTTAGACACTCAGCCAGCCACCTCAAAACTATTTTTTTTTTTTAAAAAAAAGTGTTCACTAGAGATTAATCTTACCCTTTATTATAGCTAAAGCTAAAATGTACCAAAAATTCTTGTTTAAAAAGTTAACGTTTTCAAGTACACTCCCCAGTCCCAGCACCACAACTACTCAAAGCTTTGGCCCCGACCATCTGTAAACAAAAAACACAAAACCCGGGGAGAACACAACGGTATCTTGTTAATATTCACTTGGTCTATGGTGTCTACACTGATAACATGCATTGCAGACCTCAAAATGATGTGTCCAAAGTTTTGCCCGATGCAGCAGCAAAGTCCAATAGTGTTACCGCCACAAATTAAGCCCCCTTTAAAAAAATAAATTAGCTGCCATTATCCTGCCAGCATCAGAGTTGCCTTGGGTACAAAAGTACCGTGATGTCCTTTTTATTGTGAGGAATTCCCAGCCATCTGCAACCAACAACACAGAAACAAACGTATTCCCAAGGAAGGCTGCAGTATTGAGATTGCGAGGTCTGAGCCTGCATCTGTCCTCTCAAACTCGAAGAGGAAAGAGAATCCACAAATAACATCAACAGGAGAATTTATAAAGAAATAAAACTGCAGAAACGGTTGTGTCTCCTGCTATGGCTTTTTGGTGTTGTGATATGCTGTAGAGTTCCACATCGTCCATAGAGTGGGATACGCATCATTTATATAAAAAGGGAAGAAAAGGTGGGTGGAACACTTCCTCTTACATTGTTGAGCCTTTTGCTTGTAAAAGCTGTGGGAGAAAAGTCAAAGAAGAGGTTTATAAACACAGATACCAATAAAAGCTTTTCAAAAAGAAGTTTGGTTCAAACCCTTTGCTTTTAAATCAGGTGATCAGTTACAAAACCACGAGGAACAACGGGCTTCGTGTCTCAGTGGCTTCCCTCCAATACTTTTCCTTTTTCTTTAGGTTCAGAAATCCCTTTCAGCATAACAGCAAGGAGGCATGAGGCAGCTCACATTTACATTAGCATGTTTGCTGGTCTCTGCCAGGATTGCTCTGTACCCAGCTTCACTAAACAAAGAGCAAAGATAATTGCCCACTGACTGATTAACTCAGTTAATGGTAGGCAGGCAGGGAGAAGGGTAGCTGCCCCCTTCCACAAAGTACGAAAGAAGAATTATATTAATTTTCAGGGTATAGTCAAATTTCACCAAGATCTTTCCAGGCAAACTGAATGTTGCCTGCATTCTGTTTTTATATTATGTTTGGCTTGTCTTTTCGTCACAAAAGTGGTGAGTAATCTTTGTGACCAGCCAGTTTGCGATGAGGTTCATCATGTATTCAGAACAGCAGCAGCTATCTTTTAGGACCTCGCTGGTGTTTGTCCCTTCCCTTAGCAACCTGAGCATGTACTTTCTGGTATATAGGTAATTCCCACTACCCTAAATTTGCTCATGCAGCAGTCAGACCCAGGAACATGACCAGAACACACCCTCGCGATCTGAACTAGTTATCCACCTCCAATGCACATGTTCCTTCAATCTATCCAGAGGCAATTCAAGTTAACACTAAACAAACTGAAGTTTGGTTGCATTACAGGCTGCTTTGAAAAAAAATGCAATTGTGCTACAGAAGGTAGAGAGGAGATTTAAGAGGTATCGCAAATAACAGACAATTTTATCAATGAGGAAATGTCAGACTGGGGTTATTTTCTTCAGAACAGAGGAGACTGAGCTGACCTCTAACGGAGGTTTATAAAATTATGAGAGACTTACAGTGGAGAGAGAGACTAATACCTAAAGGCATGGATCTAAAGTTACTGGTAGAAGGACTGGAGGAGAGTTAAGGAGAAATATTTATATCTTGAGAGCAGTACGATGCTGAAACTCAATGAAATTGTGACAGAAGCATAAACTCTCACCCACATTTAAAAAATACTTGTGTAGGCCACTGAAATGTTGTAACCTACAGTGCTCACGGACCAAGAGCTGTAAAGTAGGATTAAACTGGTTAGTTCTTTCACTGCCAGCTGCAACACAAGAGTCTGAAGCCCTATTATGATCCCGCAAATGTTTGTCTATTTTAAATAACTTCCCATTTGGTTTTGTAGAATTAGAATCCAAAGTGGGCTGGGTTGAAGTCAATGCTTACAAGAGAATTTTGCTTCAGCAATAATTTGAATAGCTTAAGCTCAAATAATCCCCATAACAAAAGGTCAAAGAAATCATAATTGAGCCCTTTTCCCTCTCATCCCTAAATGCCTGAAGAGCTGTATATATTGACCTGTCATAGGCACTTTCAAGAGACAAATAGAAGACTGCAACCAAATCAGGTTACTCATCCATTAATTAGCCGAAAACAAAACTCTATGATGTTAAACTATTCTCTAAGTAGGTAAATAGAAACACTACACAACTAATTTTCTGTTAAAATATACGTTAGGCATGCATTAAAGGTACCCATCACTTGCAGATCACCCACCCTATCTGTACAACTAGGCTAGTCCAAACCTACACAAATTCACCAGCCATTCATTCCACGTTGTAACTGTACCAAGGACAACTAGTGTAAATGGGAGGATTGATGGGGAAGGTTCTAAATGTGATGACAGCACATTAGTTAGGAAAGAAAGACAAGAGAGAGTCAGAATATGTAGGAACTCTGAAGAACCAAATTGCATTTATTTCAATGCAAGGGGTCTTACAGGGAAGGCTGATGAACTCAGGTCATGTTTAAGAACATGGGATAGGGACGTCATAGCTATTACAGAAACTTGGCTGAGAGATGGACAAGACCACTAGCTCAATGTTCCCTGTTTTAGACACTATAGGAAGGATAGAAAAGGAGGCAGGGGTTGGGGGGGGGGGGGAGGTGGTAGGGCGGTGATGGTTGGTGGTACTTTTGATTAAGGTATACGTCACTGCTGTAACTAGGGAACATATTTCTGAAAAATCATCCAGTGAAAATATACAGGTAGAAATTACAAATAAGAAAGGAAAGATCACTTTGATGGAATTGTACTTTAGGCCCCCAACAGTAAGAGAGTGTTTGAGAAACAAATATGTAGGAGATCTCAGATTTATGTAAGCATAATAAGGTTGTAATAATGGGTGATTTTAATTTTCCAAACATTGACTAGGACTACCATCATGTTAAAGGTTTGGATGGTGAAGAATTTGTCAAATGTGCTCAAGAAAATTTTATCAAAACGTGGATGTTCCTTCTAGACAAGGAGCAAAACTAGATCTTCTTTCGGACAATAAGGCAGGGCAGGTGACTGAAGTAAAAGTGGGGGAAACACGTTGGGTCTAGCGATCATAACTCTATTAGTTTCAAAACAGTTATGGAAAAGGATAAGCTTTCCATAAAAGTTAAAGTTTTTAATTGGAGTAAGGCAAATTTTAATGATGAGATAAGACCTTATAAAAAGTTGATTGGAGTAGGGTGTTCACAGGTAAAAGGACGTCCGACCAAGTGGTAGGTGTTCAAGAGTGTGATCATGAGAGTTCAGAGGCATTTTGTTCCAGTTAGAGGGAAGGGAAAGGCTGGCAGGATTAAGGAACAATGGATGAATAAAGATAATGAGGTTCTAGTCAAGGGAAAAAAAAAGGATTTTTGAAAGATATAGACAACTTGGTTCAATTTAATCGCTTAATATAAAGAGCGTAGAGACATTCTTAAGAGAGATATTAGGAAGGCAGAGGAAATATGAGATAGCATTGGCAGATAAGGTCAAGAGTAATCCAAAGAGATTCCACAAATACTAGAGGGTAACTAGAGAGGGAGTTGGGCCTCTTAAAGATCACAGAGGTCACCTTTATGTTGAACCCCAGGAGATGGGAGAGATACTAAATTAATATTCCATTCCTGTCCTTACTGTGGAGAAAGAAATGGAGTCTAGAGAATACAGAGAAATAAACTCTGATGTTTTAAAAACAGTTCACATTATAGAAGAGGAAGTTCGGGAGGTCTTAAGAGAATACAAAGGTGGATAAATCTCCGGGATCTGATCAAATGTATCCCAGGACATTGTGGGAAGTAAGGGAGAAAATTACGAGACCCCTTGCAGAAATATTTGCATCATCTACAACTACAGATGAGGTGTCTGGTGACTGGAAGGTGGCTAATGTCGTAGCTTTGTTTAAGAAAGGCTGTAAGGAGAAACCGGAGAACTACAGACCTGAGAGTCTGACTTCAGTTGTGAGGAAATTGTTGGAGGTGATTGTAAAAGATAGGATTTATGGACATTTAGAGAGGCGAAAATTGACTAGGGATAGTCAGCATGGTTTTGTGCAAGGAAAATCCTGTCTCACAAGCTTTATTGAGTTTGAGGAAGTTACCAAAAATATCAATGATGGCAGAGCAGTAGACGTTGATTATTTGGATTTTAGTAAAGCCTTTGACAAGGATACGCATGGCAGACAAATTAGTAAATTTAGGTCACAGGGGATTCAGGGTTAACTTATCAATTGGATAACTGCAGGAGACAGAGTGTAACGGTGGAGGACTGCTTTTCGGACTGGAGGTCTGTGACCAATGGTGTTCCACAGGGATCGGTTCTGGGTCCTCCTTTGCTTGTCATTTTTATATAAATGATTTGGATGAGAATATAGAAGGCATGGTTAGCAAATTTGCAAATAACACCAAAATTGGTGGCATTGTAAAGAGTGAAGGTTTTCTAAGATTACAAAGGAATCTTGATCAAATGGATCAATGGGCTGAAAAATGGCAGACTGAGTTAAATCTGGATAAATGCGAGGTATTGCATTTTGGAACAACAAATGAAGGAAGGGCTTATACACTTAATGGTAGAGCCTTGGCTAGTGTTGTAGAACAGAGGGACCTAGGGGTGCAGGTACATAATTCTTTGAAATTTGCGTCACATATAGACAGGATGGTTAAAAAGGCATTTTGCACACTTGCCTTCATTACGCAGTCCTTGGAGTACAGGAATTGGGACGTTATGTTGAGGTTGTACACGACATTGGTGAGGCCTCTTCTGGAATACTGTATCCAGTTCTGGTTGCCCAGCTATAGGAAGGATATTATCAAGCTGGACAGGGTTCAGAAGAGATTTACCAGGATGTTGCAGGGTATAGAAGGTTTGAGTTAAAAGGAAAGGCTGGATAGCCTGGGATGTATTTCACTGGAGCACAGGAGGTTGAGACATGACCTGATAGAAGTTTATGATTTAATGAGAGGTATAGGTAGAGTTGATTTTAAGTTATCTTTTCCCTAAGACAGAGAATTTCAAGACTAGGGGGCACATTTTTAAGGTGAGAGGAAAGATTTAAAAAAGACATGAGGCAAATTTTTTTAGAGGGTGGTTCATGTGTGGAACAAACTTCCAGATGAAGCAGTGGATGCGAGTTCAATTACAATTTTTGAAAGACGTTTGGATGGATATATGAATAGGAAAGATTTGGAGGGTTATGGAACAGGAGCAGGCAGGTAGGACTGGTTTAGTTTGGAATTAATTTCAGCATGGACTGGTTGGACCGAGGGGTCTGTTTCCATGCTGTATGACTTTATGTAATAGAAATATTGAAAAACTAGAGCCTTACATAGAAAGGAGGAGTGAAGAAAATAAATGACAAGGAAGAAAATAAAAGAAAAAAATAATTATTTGTAGGGGTGAGATGGAAGAGACATACCACTCTAAAAACAAACTCCTACCAATACTAGTCAAACCAGCACACATGCAAAAGCGAGGCAAGTATACACACAAGCGACACAAGCACAAATACAGGAGGGCACCCATGTTCAAGCGGAGGCACACATACATAGTTCAACGTATACATGAAAGGTGTATATGCACAAGTGTCTATGGGAGGAGCACATAAACAAACAAGGAAGTGAGCTGTGCACACACAGAAAACAAAACTGCATGCATACTATGTACACAGGAGCCAGATGTGGGTAGCACCCTCATACAAAAGGAATATACACGAAGGATCATAACAGCATCAGACACTACCATATCCAAATGCATCATGACAGCAAAAGCAGGCATGTGATGAGGAGCAAGAAGTATTGGCAAGCACAGAGTCATATAGCACGGAAATAGACCCTTCGGTCTAACTTGTCCATGCTGACCAAGTTTCCCAAACTGAACTAGTCCTATTTGCCTGCGTTTGGCCCATATCCCTGCAAACCTTTCCTATTCATGTACCTATCCAAATGTCTTTTAAATGTTGTAACTGTACCTGCATCTACCGCTTAATCTGGCGGTTCATTCCGTATGTGAATCACCTTCTTTGTGAAAAAGTTGCCCTTCAAGTCCCTTTTAAATCTTTCTTCTCTTACCTTAAAAATATGCACTCTAGTTTTGAGATCACCCACCCTACGGAAAAGATCTTTGCTATTCACCTTATCTGTGCCCCTCATGATTTTATAAACCTCTATAAGGTCATCCATCATCCTCCTAAAGCTGTAGTGAAAAGAGTCCCAGCCTATCCAGTTCCTCCTTATCACTCAAACTCTCCAGTCCCGGCAACATCCTGGGAAATTTTTTCTGAACTCTGTCCAATTCAATATCCTTTCCATTGCAGGGTGACAGAACTGTACACAATACTCCAAAAGTGGTTTCACTAACATCTTGTACAACCTCAACATGATGTCCCAACTCCTATACTCAATGGTCTGAACAATGAAGGCAAGCATGCTAAACACCGTGTCTACCTGTGTTGCAACTTTCAAAGAACTATGTACCTAAACCCCTAAGTGTCTCTGTTCAACAACACTACCTAGGGCCCTACCACTGACTGTATAAGTTCTGCCCTCGTTTGTTTTACCAAAATACAGCCCTTCACATTTATCCAAATTAAACTCCATCTGAAGAAGGGTCTAGGCCCGAAACGGCAGCCTTCCTGCTCCTCTGACGCTGCTTGGCCTGCTGTGTTCATCCAGCTCTACACCTTGTTATCCCTGATGGATCAGCATAACTTATTACAGGATAGGATGCAAGCAGCTGTGTTTCTGATAAACTGAAGCTGATGAAGGATAAAGGATGGAAGGCTAATCTGCAACACATTTGAATAGTTGAGTCTTGCAGGTAATAATAATAGAGAAGGATTTCAATGACAAGAGGCTGAGGCAGAGATATGGAAGTTAATGGTCTTTCTCACAGGTGTATATTGGATTGGAAGCTCCATTTGGGAATAGAAAAATTTTGAACAGTCTGGTTCCAAGTGACACAATGGTTGGATGGAACTGGTGGCAGAAACACAGTTTGTGGTAGGGGATGGAGGGCGATAACTGCAAACTTCCCAAAGTTTAACTAGGGAACTAGCAATTTTTTTTAAAAAAAAGAGGGAACTGGTAGTGCAATGGCAATGTCAGTAGAAGAGCAATCCAGAGGTTCAGGCTAACGCTGTGGAGGTAAAGGTCAAAATTCCATTCTGGTAGCTGAAGGAGTTTAAAGTCAATTATTAAATCTGGAATTGAAAGCTAGTCTTAGCAATGGTGACCATGACAGCATCATCGTTTGTTGTAAAAACTCATCTGCATCAGTAATGTCCCTTAGGGAATGAAATCTGCTGTCTTTACCCTATCTGGCCTATTCCAGATCCGTGCAATGTGGCTGACTCAGAGTTATCTGCTATAATGGCCAAGAAAGCCAGAGTTCAAGGATAATTATAGATAGTAATAAATACTAGACCTGCCAGTGATGCCCACAGCCTATTTTAACTGAAGGATAACACAGGTAGAGGTCACAAGTGATGGAGAAGTATTGTTCATTTGGAAGGAGTTAATTAAAAAAAAAATGCAGCATGTGAAGGTGACCAAGAACACAACCATAACGGTAAAAACGAAACTAAGGCACTGACATTCCACGGAATTGGACAATGGAAAAGAACCTTTGGAGGTAATCATTTGTGGCAAACATTGACAATTAGACAGACTTACCAACATAAATCTGAGGGTTTGCTTGCATACGTATGAATCCACACAGGTGAAACATGCATACGACACACATTGACAAGTACCATAACACTCTCACAGGACTCATTAAGTGGCACACACACCAATAATGGATTACTTGCTCACTCAGGTTAGACCAAATCTCGTTTAAAGATTACTTATTTTTATAATAATTTACAACACAAGAACGAATGCTGAAACAGGTCCACCACCAACTCATTCTAAATCACTACCAGTTCTCACCACCATGTACGTGAGTTACATTTTATTCCCCGTCATTCATATCACAATCAGCTTCCTCGTCCTCGCCCTTTATCCAGCATGCAGCATGCACAAGGGGTCAAATGTTAAACAGAAAAGAAAAGTGGCTAAAGATCAAGAAATAATCATTTTGATACTTGTAAAACACTTTGGAGTTTTAAATCAGAACATGCACAATTTACCAAATAGTTCAGCAGTTCACAGACACTGTCGGATTAAATGAATGATGTACCGGAGGCCAGACTCAATGGAAAGTGGCCATGATTTCATATGCAACCTTGGAAATGATATGGGCTAGAGCAGTCCCAGCTACTGGGGCCTGGTTTAAGCAAAGACAAGGTATAACCTTAGATCACAAAAAGGAACATTAGAAACAGGAGCAGGATTAGCCCGTTCAACCTTCGAGCCTGCTCCACCAAATCAGTAAGATTGTGGCTGAGCTCCTACATCAAACTCCACATTCCGCTCCTATACCTTTACTGCATTTTGTGAAAAATATTTTATTACTTTAAAATACTCTTTGAACTTGAATATTTACTGCTAATTTTATTAGATTTTTCTCAGTATAATAGCATGCAGTTCAATAGTGACAACTTGGGACAGAGTGTCAAGATCAGAGTGAATTAGCAGTCTCTGGAATCCAGGACTTGACATTGCCAGCCTGCACAACTCAGAGGGTCATTGGCAAACAGACGGAAATGCCTTGCCAATACTTTTCTTTGACACTCATGCAGGGGTCTCCACCCAGTAGCACTAGGCTGCCCCGAGAAAACAGCTAAGTAACTGGAAAATCAATTATAAATCATTACCATGTATAAAAGATGGTCCAGATCATCATTATATTAGACTACAGCCACATGTTATCTGCAGCGAATTAATTGCATACCAATTTAACATGGTTGCAGCTCACCATACATTGCCTCTCTGCCTTGACTGAATTTCTCCCTAAGCTTCCGGCTCACCTTAGCTTTCCTGCTCGGTTCACAGCTTATCCCATTGGTGGTGTTATGCAGCTCCTTGGAAACAACACACAGAAATTCTGCCTGGTCTTCATTCCCATAGTTGTACGAAGATCCAATGCTGACCAACTGCAAAAATAACAATGAACATTTAGACAGAAATCATTGATGTATAGGAAATCCTGTACTACTCAGAGTGGCTTAGAGAAAATGGATCACCACTGAACCAGAGATGTATGTTAAGAGAAGTAGCTCAAGATTTTGGTCAAACAGCTCAGTTTTAAACAGCATCTCCAAAAAGGAGCAAAATGGATGGACTGACCAAGTTTAAGGATAGGTACTGAGGAAGAATTTGGGGGAAAGAAATTTCAGAGAGCAGGATACACATAGTAAAGGGAAGGAAGACATACACATAGCACTGTCAAGGAAATGCAGATAAAGAGGGTCACACAAAGAACTATAAAGGTGCTTCATCTCCATAATATAACTGTAACATATTTTGGCTATTGGCCTAACCATGCATCCATGCACACTCTAAACTCAAACAATTACTAAACCCCAGTTACCAGTCTTGATACGAAATCTCTTCAATCACTTTTCTCCTAATTACTCTACTCTGGTCACTAATGATCACTTTTATTGTATCAACCACTAGAGGTAAATTCTACCAACCTCCCAGCTACCTAAATTTGACAGGTATTCGCTCTGCTCTGGACAGGGAACAGGAGCAGGGATATAGAAATACAGCGCTTTCATGTTACTACAACCCATTATCAAGCATGCATAACAAAACTGCAAAGCAGCCTCACCTGTTCAAACTTCCAGCCATCAGACATGGTGGAAACCATCTGGGTCAGCTCTTCCTCCTGACACTGAAGTACCCGGTAAACATGTTTTGTAGGAAGCTGCAGAAATGGAGAATACAGGCTATAATTAGCCTCTTCCGTTAAAACATATTGCTACATGTAGGGTTTGATTTGGTTCACACTAATGTAATCATTTTACAATAATAATAATAATAATAATAAACCCATGTTATAACACTGCTGTTTTGGTTGCCTGTTTTACAAAAGAGCGCAATGAATTTACCGATCAAGTGCCTAAGCTCCTGTGTGCGGTCTAAAGGAGCAGTTTCCCTCCTGTTCAATGGGAAATCATTCTTGTAAGACAGCACCTACAGGGAGATTTGCCATTAACAAAACAATTAAACCACTGACTTAATTGAATAAAGCACCCTTTACACAGAATATATATCCCACCAGGGATTCTCCAATACCTCAGTAATATTTTTATATCACTCATTTCTCATAAGTACATACACTCAGTTTCAAGAGATGAAACCAGCTTGCCATGCAAAGAGCTGAAGAAATATATAATTCAAATACAAGTAACCAGATTTTATTGCATCGTAGTCACTATCCACAGTTCAATCTTACACAGAGACATTTTGAAGGAAAAGGCAACTTCTGAATTTTTAAAAAATTAATTTCGCAGATTTTGATGGATGATCACATGGGACACAAAGATCTTTCAGATAGCAAGATAGGGAAACGTACTGAGGGAGCTATGTGTAAATCAGAAGTTCAACAAAATCTCAATCAAGGTTTTAGCAACCTCACTTTCTAATTCAGAATTTAGTTGCACTATTGTTATGTATAATGCCCTGTCCCTACAAAGGAGTTTTCACACCACCAAGAAATGTATCTCTTCCTTCTACTGTAATGAATCCCAATATTTCAGTCACACTGTTGGATAGAAGCTTATAAATGCTAAACTGACATGAAATTTCTCAGCATTTGTCACATGTCCCTGACTCCCCTTTAAGTGGCTTGCTAGGCCATTTCAGAAGCTAGTCAAGAGTCAACCTCATTACTGTGGATTTGGTATCACACACAGGTCAGACTACGCAAGGGTGGGAAATTTCCTTCCCTAAACGGCATCAGTGAACCAGATGGGTTTTTACAACAATTGATGATAGTGGTCACTGTTATCAAGAGTAGCTTACAATACCAGATTTATTAACTGAATTTAAGTTCCACCAGTTGCCTTGGGAGAAACTGAACCCTTACCTTTGGAGGATTAGCTCTAGCTGGTAGGTTTTACTTTCACATCCAATGTGATAAATGGAAACAAAAGTCAGTTATTAAAAATTTAAGATGTGGTCAAACAGCTAATGACTGCTATCTGAAGTACAATATTTCTAAATGAGTTCATCAGCTGTGGGCTGACATCAGGAGCCAAACATTACAACATACACTAGATAAATGGCATAGGTTTGTTAAAATTTTCATTCAAACTTTCAACTTCTCCTGTAAAATAGTAGGTGGAGGAATTTCATAACAACAGATTAAGCATGCAAATCCTACTAATTCGCAGCATCGCTGTTTTTTAAAGATCAAAATGTTAGTGTGTCTAGTCTAACCCTTGATGTTAACACCATCGATGGCCTGTCACAGTACTAGTTTAAGTATCCAGAATCTGAGCTCCCCTGGCGGCTAGGTTGGCAATTACAGTGAGGATCTAAGAAATTTCAAGGTACAATCCCAATCCCCGCCAGGTTTTCCAAGCCATGGATTGGGGCGGGGGGCTGACTCTGGGTGGGATGCGCTTCGGAGAGTTGGTGTGGACGTGATGGGCCAAATGGCCTGATTCCACACTGTTGCCATTCTATGAAGCATGTCCAAAAATAGCAAGATTTGAACAATATCCAGGCCTGGTCTGATAAATAACAGGTAACATTCACACAAGACAACTACAAGCAAATGACCATTTCCAATGAGAGAATACCGAACCACTAATAATCCCTTTGACATTCAGTCATCACCATCATTGAACTCCACCCACTATCAACATCCCGGGGATTAACATTGACCACAAACTGAACTGAACTAATTAATAAAGAGAATATAAATACCATGGCTACAAGAGCAGGACACAGACTAGGAATTCTGCAGTGGATAACACATCTTCTGACTCCCCAAAGCCTGTCCACCATCTATAAGGCACAAATCAGAATTGTGACAGAATACTGACCACTTTCCTGGATATAGGCAGCTCCAACATCACTCAAGAGGCTTTACACAATCCAGGACAAAGTAGACTGCTTGATTGATAAAACATCCTCACACAGTCACTCCCTTCACCACTGACGTGCAGGAGCAACAGTGTTTCCCAGGTGCAAGATGCAATGCAGAAATTCACCAAGGCTCCTCCACCAGCACCTTCCAAACCTACTCCCACTGTCATCTGGAAGGACAAGGGCAGCAGATACATTGGAATATTATCAGCAGCAAATTTCCCTTTATGCCAATCACCATCCTGACTTGGAATTATGTTACTGTTCCTTCAGTTGCACTGGGTCAAAATCCTGGAACCCCCTCCCTAATAGCACTGACAGTCCACCTACACCAAATGGGCTGCAGCAGTTCAAGGCAGCAACTTTACCACCTCAAGGACAACCAGAGATAGGCAAATACTGCCAAGCTGGCAATGCCCATCCCACGAATGAATTCAAAAGAAAACACTAATTTTGGGAGAGGCTAAAAATTTAAAAGAATGGAAAGACAATGTAATGTTTCACTTTTTTGTTTCAACCCCACCATACAGTACGCCTTTCCTTACCTGTGTGGGTTTACAGTCTCGCTCCTTGATCTTCTCTTTCACTAACTTAATGAGAGGTGCTATGTTGTAAAACTCCGCTTCTTCTAGAACCCCTGCAAAAGAGAAACATTATAATTGTTGCGACATTCCACAAGTGTCAGCACAATTCAGTGTCACCCTGGCAGGGTTATACATGACATAAAAGACCAGCAGAATCTAATCACAGAGAGCCCTGCTCGAAATTATATGTTTGCACATTAAGAATGGACTACTGTAATCCATGAGAGCATTCTCCACAGTCAGACAACCTTCAGGCTGAGTCTACATGTGGATGGCCACCTGACCACGCCAGTAAAAGGAAAAGAATAATGAAATGCATTGGTTTCTGCAGCTGGGTTATAGTGAAATAACACAGCAGTGAAAAGTATAATAGAATTACATTGAAGTTATAGAAACAGACCATTCAGCTTGACTGGTCAATGCCAGCATTTATGCTCCATAAAGAACTTCCTCCTATTCGACTTCATCCAAGCCTACCTGCATATCCCATTATACCTCCTTCCCACACAGCAGTGATCTACATCTAGCCACCCGAGTAACGGTTCTACTGAACTCTTTATTACAGAATTAAAGTATTCGGGCTCTCCATTAACAAAAAATACAGAGCCAAGCTCAAATGAATACCATGCAACTCCCGTTGACTGCTTCTAACTCTGGTACAAGCAAACTGCTAGATGGATTCCACATTTACAAGCAACCACAACCCTCTCAGCAGATGCAAGATAGTTCCTCTCTACAGGTTGAGATGGGACAGCTCTGTAAACCTAAGGACCTAACTCACAGGTGCGTGGGTACATAAAATAGCAGTATTTGAGACATTCTAATCAATTGGTCACTACTCTGCTTAAATGCAAATAAAGACCACATTTAGTTTTTCTACTAACTCCATATACAACACTAGGAATTAAAATTTTGAAAAATTATTTGAGGAAGAGTGGGTGGAAGAAATATAACCACAATGGGGAGATAAAAGATAAACACTGAAAGAATTGTGAATGCTGTATACAAGGAACAAAAACAGAAGTTGCTGGAAAAGCTCAGCAGGTCTGACAGCATCTGTGAAGAAATAAATCAGAGTTAACATTTTGGTTCATGTGACCCTTCCTCAGAACTGATGGTAGCTGGGAAAACGTCAGGTTATACACAGAAAATAGGGAGGGGGATGGGGTAGGGAATAAACGATAGGATAGAGCCCAAAGAGAGAGAAGAGCAATTGAATAGACAAAGGAGTTGCTAACGATCTGGCTAGGAAGGTGAATAGCTGTTAATGGGGATCGTTAGTGACTAACAATAGGTAGTGTGTAATGGGAGGCCATGTGATAACAAAACCTGGTTTATGGGGTAGGGAGCTAGGACATCGGAGAGTTTAGGCCCTAAAATTATTGAACTCAATATTGAGTCCAGAGGGCTGCTGGGTCCCCAAGCAGAAAATGAGGTGCTGTTCTTTGCTGGGATGCTATAGCAAGCTAGAGACAAGAGATGTTGGCCAGGGAACAGGGTGGTGTGTTAAAGTGGCAGGCAGCTCAGGGTCTTTTCCACGATCAAAATGTAGATGTTCTGCGAAGCAGTCACCCAGTCTACACTTCGTTTCCCAATGGATAGGAGACCACATTGCGAGCAGCGAATGCAGAAGACTAGATTCTGGGAAGTACAGATGAAGTGTTGCTTCACCTGGAAGGTATGTTTGGGCCCTTGGATAGTGAAGATGGAGGAGGTAAATAGGCAGGTGTTGCACCTTCGCCGGTTGCGGGTAAGGTGCCATTGGGCTGTCCGGGGTATGTTGAGGGCATAGGAAGAATGGACCAGGGTGTCCCGGAGGGCACGGTCCCTGCGGAAGGCAGACAAGGGAGGGGAGGGGAATGTGCCTGGTGGTGGCGGAAATGGCTTATGATGATCTTCTGGATGTGGATGCTGGTGGGATGGGAGGTAAGGACAAGGGGAACCCTATCGCTGTTGCAGTAAGGAAGACAGGGGGTGAGGGCAGAAGTGCGGGAGATGGGTCGGACCTGGTTGAGGGCCCTGTCGACAACAGTGCTGGGGAATCCTCGGGTGAGGAAGTGGTGGACATTTCGGAGGCTCCCTTGTCAAAGTTGGCCTCATCTGAACATATGCGACGGAGATGGAGGAACTGAGAGAATGAGATGGAGTCTTTACAGGAAGCAGCGTGAGAGGATGTATAGTCCAGGTAGCTACCGGAGTCAATAGTAGTCATGTAAAAGATAAACCCAATACTTCTCCACTCTTTCTCCCTCTAGAAAGACATCCAATTGTCTCTTGAACCCAATTATGCCACCCATTTCAATGTTTTTTCCCCCTGGCATTTGTTCCAAAACTCAATTACAAAAGCAAAAGTAGATGATGGAAATCTGAAATTAAAGAGGAGCAAGTGCTGAAAATAGTTAATCCTGTGGAGACAGAAAAAGCTAAAGTTTCAGTCAACAACCATTCTACCACTCAGATTCTTGCCCCATGGATGCAGTTGGACTTGAGTACTTGAGCACACTTAATCCATAATGCTGTTCATGACGTCTCTGCTTTAGACTTAAATTTACACATTGCAGCAAATGGTTAACTATATGGCAGGATTGAATTGCCAATCAGTAGCCTCAATCTTAAAAACTTCAGCTAGATTATTTCAATTTCCTTCTTCTGAAGAAAAGTCATTAATAGCATGATGTACATTCACCAGAATAAATGAGCCAATAATGGGAGAACAGATGAGAGATACTGGACTATCAATATAGGAGTGGAAAAGGTTGAGCGAAGAGATTTAATAATGTTCTTTTTTAAAATTATGTAGTGTTTTGATGCAATGTTCAAGGAAAGACTTTCCTCTGAAATAGAGTCAAAAAAGATCAATACTTAATGTTATCATCATAGCTGATGCTAAAACTGGACAATTCAGATTTTAGAGTGGAAACTAGTTTGATAGTCTATATGTTTAATTTTTATTTACCATGAAGGTCAGTCACTGAACATATACTGTTATCATCTACAACAAAAACAAAAATAGCTGGAGAAACTCAGCAAGTCTGATGGCATCTGGAGAAAAAGCACAGTCAACATTTCGTGTCCAGTTCTGAAGAAGGGTCACTGGACCCAAAACATTAGCTCTGCTTTCTCTCCACAAATCAGCTGATCTGACAGGATTTGTGGAGAGAAAGCAGAGCTAATGTTTTGGGTCCAGTGACCCT